CCGAAACATGACAAATCATGTGGTTGCAACATGATTTCATCATGTTTGATTACCAAGACTGCATCATGTTGCATTTACTATTTATTTTTTACCGTGTGGTCATAACAAAAAATTATATACATACACATATATGTGCATATTGTGTTGAAGCAAAAGGAACATTCCTGCCAAATTTTAAGTTTTTTAGTTTAATAGTGTTTCAGAGGTTATCGTAATGAGTGAATGAGAATAACCGGAAATCTCTTACATATATGAAAAACAGAATAAATTTAAACATTTATGTGCCTTATTATGAACCTAAAAATAATAAGACTATTTTTTAATTTACGTATCGAATCCAAGAATCGATTACTTAGATATTGAATTTAATTAATAACACATCAGTTAAGCAAAAAAGTCAGAGTGAATTTAGAAACGTTGAAAATGATTGTTTATCAAGATAAAACAGTGAATTTCCCTTTTTAGACGTATTTATTCTATTAAAAGTAATGAAATTTACCCACACATGTGAACACCACACACACATGCCTGTATGATACGCCATATTAATCATATCGGTGTTCAGTAAAGGGAATGTTCCATACAAGCATACAATGAGTTGCTGGTTGTAATTTACGTCCGGGTTAGAGCGATTGCCAGCGAAGTATACAGCATCGAGAGTTTACGCGGGCCGTGTTGTGACGCCACGACAAAGGCCCATTGTGCTCAAGGCATAACCGCGCAATAATATTATTAGCCATATATATTGTACATGTATTTCACATAATACGCTTGCTCTTATTGCCCGAAGCGACGGCAAACACACACATATGTATACATGGACACACGTGAAACACAAGAGACACGAGTAGAGACAAGAGACTAGAGACTAGAGAGAGTGAGAAGGGCTTTAAAGCACTATTCTCTACAAGAGCTACGAGCATATCTTTGTTAAGGACTCAATTACCTTGGCTCCTCATCTGCTGGCATTCTGTAGTACCCTCGTGTATCTTCATCTCTCTGATGATGCTTTTGATGAAGAAATAGAAAAAATTAGAAATTGTTTAACCAGCCTTACCTATTGTTCATTTTACACTTTGGTAAATTGCTTTATTGTTGTTATTCCAATTTGGAAATTAATAATTTTTTTTTTCAATAAATATTTTTAAAATTTTTTTTAGATGTTATGATAAAAAAATGTTAAAGTTCAATCATTTAATTATGCCTGTGACTCAAGTATATACAAAAACTTGTATGAAAATAAAAAAAAATAAAATATTATTTACAAATTAAAATATTGTTGCTAATAATGTGATCACAAGTATGACGACATTTTGATGGCTCAATGCATTTGAATAAGCAATAATTGATAAAGTCGTAAAACAAGTTTTAAATAATGATTCAATTAAAAGTTGACGTTAAAATATTATATTCTTAATGTTTCTTTAAAATGGTGTTATTACGTTTATACATAATACTTTAAATTAGCTTATTATCAGCAAAAACACTTGCATAAGTTTACTTTTGTCAATAAATAACTCGCAATGAAATTATTTTATCAGTCATTTTAAATACTAAAAAATTGTTTGTTAAGGTTATAGACTTTTTTACAGAATTATGTTGTTCTATTTTATAGAAAATTTTCCATGATTCTTTATGAAGGAAATTCTAATTATATGCAAGCTTCTTTAATGGTTGATCATAATGATTATGTTAATTAATTGAAGAGATTTATTTCAAAATATTAATTGGTTTAATCGTAATGTATATCTGAAAATTTTTCGCCGGATCATGCTTAGATAAAAATGTCGAGAATTAATAAAAAGATTATTTATTATGTATTATGACGGCGAATACAGACATTTTTATTAAACAACCATATTGATTTTTTGATAGCTAATAACTGACTTTTCGTCTCATGCAATTAATAAATTTTTATTAATGATACAAAAATAATAAACGAGCCATAAAAATGGCAGCCGATTTAATCGTTTATCAACTCACTGGTATAAAAATAAGAACGTTTAATTTAATAATAAAATAACCAGAAAATTTTATCATTTTGTTCAGGTAAACAAAGTTTGTCTTTTTATAAATATAATTTTTAATAATTAAATACATACGAAATCTTGTAAAAATTGCAATAAAAAAAGTTGCACAAAATTAGAACTAAACAATTTAGAGACAATCTTAAAAATGATTTCAAAAACTATATATTATTATTTCAGTTTGTGTTCAAAATAAATTTCAATACTCTAATAGTATTGTTAAAACTAAAATATCATTAACAATGATTAAAACCACAATTAAAAGCATATTTAAAAATGTTAGACTGTATCAGTAAAATTACCAAAAAGTTAAATTTATCAACAATTCTTTTAACTACTCAATTTACCGCTTTGCAAGTGAGAACTATGGACTACCGTTTGCCACCTATCGGTCACCGTAGAACTATTTACCTGATGTATTTCCAAAGCTTTTAAAAAATTGAAATTATGTTTGTTCTTTTTTGTCTTTCTAATCATTTGAATTATTTTAAGAATAATATGATTGAAAAATGTAATAGTAATCCTGAAAAATGTCTTAAGCTTAAAAAATTAAATTCCAAAAGAAACCCTTAAATTTCAAAATTATTGTACTGGGAATGAGGTGAGTAAATAATAAGACAATTCAAAGCACTTATTTTTTTAATTTTCGTTTAATTTTTTTTTGAGAATAAATTAATATATTTATAACGGATATAGTGGTAAATAATATCTGTTTTAATGTCCTCAATTTTCTATGGCATCTTCTGAATTAAATGTCAAAAAATTTATTTTACAATCGTCTTCGTACATATAATTATAAACTCAACACATTTTACTGTTTTATTTAATAATATAATAATCAATATCATTATTACAATTATTATCTATTTTTGTTCAAATCACTCATACTAACGATCGAAATCAACAACTTCATTAAAACTTTCAAAACAGGCTTCATGTGTCTCGTGTTCTATTGCTTTAAATAATGATGCCTCGTATTGTTATATAAATCCATGCACTAAATTCATGAATACTTTTATTTCATTACGAAAATTAAATTAAATTACTATTTACATTATAAATACAATTTCTCGTCGTTTGTTATTATCTCTTACGTTCGCTATAATTATTATTTTTTTATTAATATTAATTTTAATATTATTATAATTATTAATTTAATTTATAATAATTATCTCATTTATTTATTATTTATACATATATATTTATAATTATATTCGAAGATTTAAATCTTGTAATCCATAAATTTATTTTAATTAAATAATAAACTCTTGACTCATTCATTCCTTCTCTATTATTGCACACTTACATGTCGATAAAACAATAACTAGTTGACTACTTGGTTTATATGAAAACTAAGACTCATTGGTTTCATTCATAAATACATTTTTTTATTTAATTCTCAGATATGTCACTTTGATAATATTTATTTTTTTTTTAATTTTAATTACACGGGAAAAATAGTTCTGTTATATTTACATTTTGTCAAATTTACATACTCGAATTTTGCTTCGTGAAACAACTATTTACTTTAAATCAATTTTTATGACAGAAATAAGATGGCGCTTATGAAAATTTTTTGTAATTTCTGGTTACGTAAGCAATTCTGTAAAATAATTTCTTATATCACTTTTAAAGGCGTTAATTTAATAACTATAAAAGTCTCTTTAGATCGGAAAAATTTATTATTAATTGACAGCAAAAAACTTTCCTTTTTTATTAAATATCTTACGTAAATTTTAAATTAACATTTAAATGCATAAAATTCAATTTTGCAATTAAAAAAATCAGCTGAACATAATTTTTGTGAAGATTTTGACTGATTCATCAGTTTAAAATTCTATGCAATTTAAAAAAAATAGTATTTTTTCACTGACAATATTGGGAAAAATTTGATCATTTTTAATTAAGTAAAAACATTCTTCAACTAAGAAGTTTTTTTGGGGTTCATGAATTACTTAGTTGAATGAATTTAATTTTTTTTTATCACTGCATAGTCGACGTATCAAATTGAAAGTAAAATGGGCATTAAATTTATTTTTTGACATTTCTTTCATTATTATGGCTGTTAAAATTGATAAAAAACAAAATATTTAGTTAAATAACAAATTATGATGATTAATGTTTGCACTTAAATCACTTATTGACAATATTTTGTGATTAATTAAATAATTTATTTTATAATACTTTAATTCAACTACACTGAAAAAAATGAAAAGTATCTTCGGACAAGGATTTCTTATCTTAATTGTTCATTGTTAAAATGAACAATTTTTTAACAGAAGATATAAATATCTGTTTCCATTATTATAAGCAAATAAACGGGGAGCCTTACTTGAATTCAATAAAAATTATTCAAAAAAGTTTGACGAATTCGTGAGATAAAAAAGTACATTTTCACAAATTTTCAAGAATATACACTCTAATATCAAGAGCATAAATTCTTAATAGAAGAATTGTTTTCCTCAGTATATGGTATCATTACAAAAAATATTAACTTGAATCAAGAAAATAATTTTAAAGAAATTGATCGTTTTGATTTGAGCAGAAAAATTCTTAATCGAATAAATTTTTCGTCTTGATTAAAGACAATAAAACTCTTCAAAATTATTTTCTTGGTTAAAGAATTTTTCTCTTGATTCAAATTCATTTTTTTTCTAGTGTATGCAGTGTATTACTCTTGTAACTAAACTCGGTATTACTGTGAGCAAAATAAAAATTTTATATTTGTATTTTGATAAGAAGAGTACATTTTTTTTTCAGTGTGTATATTATTTTTCCCAAAAAAATCCAGAACTACTAATCCCCACGTAGTGTATTTTCATATAAACCATCAACCAGCAAAGTCCAAAAGAATTAAAAACTAATAATAATAATGATAATAATAATAATTATTCAGTCTCCAATCTTTGTCGTTGATCACTTGTTTATTTATACGTTAAAGTTAATTATATACAACTTGAAGGAAGGGGACTACGTCGTTGAGGGTGAGGTTGTGAGAGACACGGCCGGGGAAGTTGGGGAGGTTGACTGTCTGCCATTCGACAAAGTTGAAGAAGGAGTTGAGGAGCGATTCTGGGGAGAAGTGCTTGACCGTAAATTATTATTATTATTACCAAGTAGGCTGTCTATAGAAAAGGGGTTCAATCTCCGTCGTTCGTCGCGACCCTTGACCGAGAGATCAATGCTACCGCTCTGGACTTCGTCGTCGTTGGTAACATCCACGACCTGGCCCCTTAACAAGCTAAGACACCCGCGAGGGCTATCCGTGGAACGACTCAGACCATTGGCGCTCAAGCTGACCAATTCCCTCCGTCGCTCGAGAAGACTCAAGCCCCAGTGACGGATTCCCTGCTGATGATTCAAGTCCAGATTTAGATTGAGATTAAGTGCTCCATTAGACCGCTGATGCTCGTTTAACGAATGTGTCGTTGCCGTTGTTATTCTCATTACTGATGGCTCGTTCTGGTCACTCAGCCTTGGATAGCTCTCCCCATCAATCGAGCCGTCTGCCGCTGAGTCCATCCGCTCGCTCTCGGTGTCGCTGCATGAATCTAATCCGCCGACAACGTCGATCTCTTCATTAGCGTCATTCCCCGAGCCTGATACACTGCTACCGTCGTTTAAACTGCCCAAATGACCGAATGAACCGCTCAAATGACTGCTTAGAGGATTTCCGCTGGCGTTCGCTGCACTTCGGGATTCCCACTCGGCTCTCAGGGTCGTTAAGTCCACTGTGATACCCTGGATTTGTTAGAGAAACAGATAAAATTATTGATTTGTTAATTTTTAGTTATTCTATCAGATTTTTTTTAATTATGGCTAAATTAAGGAATGATCTAATCCACACAGTAAAAACGTTAGATTGTGACTATATTTTTGGCTAAGTGTTACAGTAAAAGTTGTGTTTTTGTGTAAGACACAAAAAAAGATATCCTAGCTTAAGAAAAATATTCTTACTTACACACACAGAAAAAACAAGATTTAACTGGTTTCCATGTCGGATGGAACCTAGTTCCATCTATAGTAAAAAAATGTACGGATGGTAACTACTTCTATGTAGATTGTAGTGGGGACAATCTTCGTTTAACTCAGTCCAATCCGAGATGGGACTCATGAACTGCAGTTCAACGAAAATTGCCCCTACTACAATCTACATAGAATTAGTTACCATCTGTACATTTTTTCACTATAGATGGAACTAAGTTCCATCCGACATGGAAACCGGTTAAATGTTGATTTTTCCGTGCCGTAAAAAATTTTACGTCATTGTGTCAAAAAACTTAGCGATAAAAAATTTTGTGTTAGATATTTAAAAAAGTGTTAAATATTTAACACAATAATTTTTAACACTCAGTTTTTTGATGCAATGACGCAAAATTTTTTACTGTGTATAAAGAATATCTTGATTTAAAGAATTTTTTTGATATTGAAGATTATGATTCAGAAGTTTCAAATAATTTAGTGAAGTAAAATTATTTTTCAACAAAAATTTTCTTAATTTTTCATTTAAATGTAACATATTTTGGACTAAAAAATTAAATCTTTCAATACATACAAAATTTTCGAAGATCGAAATGTTCTTGGTTCAAGTTAACATTTTTTTGGGTGTAATATTTAGGATGTAATACATTATACAAAATAATTTTTTTTTTCCGTATAATAATTTTCGGTAATCTTTCAAATTCATTAGAAAATTAATGAATAATTTTTCTATTCATTTTTTTTAGTCGACAAGTGATTAACGGGAATAATGAAGCGTAGCTAAGAGATATTTGTAATGAAATGAAATATATCCGATTCAATTAACAAATTTGATGATAATAATTATTCAAATACATTTTCTTTCGAATTTAAGCAAAATAAAGTAACGTTTTACCAAGCTTATAAAAAATTAACTTGATTCAGGAAAAAAAATTTTGAAATAAGAATATAATTTTGGGAGAGTTTGATTATCTTAAATCCGAAAAACAGAATTCCTAAATCAAGTCAAATTTTACTTAAACCAAAGAAACTTTAATCCAAGATTTTATTAGGATTGATTTGAGACGTCACAACTCTTATAATTCAAAAAAAATTTTAAACTAAAAAACTCTTTTTAAACATTTATCACGTTTTTTTTTTCTCTTAACTTGACAAGCTATTAATTTTAAAAAATTTTAATTTTTTTATCGCATACACTCTAAAAATGTCAACAACTATTGTGTAATTAATGGATGGCAAAAAATTTCTGTAGACTAGAACATCTCTGTTAACATCAATTATAACATTTCTAAATATTCAATTATGTAAAATAAATATTAGCTCGAGTTTTTTCAAATTTTAATCAATAATTAAGCTGCATTGATATTCATAATTAAATAGCAATAAATAGTATTACCATCAATCTAGTTCAATGTAAAACATCAAATGTGCAACTGATCAATCAACTATTTGTTATTATTTATTTATTTATGCAAACAATTATTTTATTAGCATACTTGCAATTAATTACTATTTCCAACTATATAATTATTGATTAATGATTAGTTCATTTTAATTTCATGCGGCCTACTAAGTATTTACCGGGGATAATTTAAAAACCAATTAATTCTTAAAATGTATTAATTACTAAAAGTTGATTTGTCATTGCGTCATTTAAAATAAATTAATAAATAAGAGAATTTGCTATCAAATTTTTTTTTTAAAACAATTAAAAAGTAATCTCTATTTCACAATTTAACAGAAATTTTCATTTTTTTTGCTCTGTCAAATCATAATTTTTTTCTACTTGTTTTTTCTTTTATCATTATTACTCCACAATTAATGACAAAAAAAAATGATAAAAAAATGGAATAATCTGACAAATGAAAAAGTTTAAAGTCTAGAAAAGTTTTTAGACGTACCTTGGCGGCGAGTTTTCGCTGCTGACGTTCGAGAGTCTTTAGTAATTTCTTTTGTCGCCTCTCGCGTTCTTTTCTTCTCAACTCTTCCGGGGGGATCGGTTCACCACTACAACTCTGTGGGTGCGCATTGTGCGCCGGCCTGCCAGGTCCTTTTTTCGTGTGCTCCTTTTTCCTCCACTTGGCGCGCCGGTTTTGAAACCATACCTAAAACAATATTAATAACGACTACCATTAGTACAATAACAACAATGATATTAAAAAATCGAGGGTTAATTGATTAAAAAAAAAGCTTCACCGTTTTTCGGCCATAATAACCTCAAACAATTAAGTTATCGCCATATTTTTTCAATTTTATTTTTCTTCTTGGCGGATTTAAGAATCATTCATGAAAAGTTTATAAAATTTAATATTTTATTATTTATTTTGCAAGATTCAAAAACAATAAACGAATAATAGACTCATTCTTTATTGATAATTTTCGATAGTGTTGAAAATTTTCGATAGATGGCGTATGATCGTTGAATCGTTTCGTTACAAAAAAGCTAAATTTGAAGTATGATTCATTTCTAAACTAGAAATAATTTTTTGACTTTCATGACGAACTTATCTGACATTGATTTTTAATTAAATTAATTACAAACATTATTTGTTTAATAATAGTTATTTATGTCATGTGGTCGCAAAGTGGCGATTTTCTGACAACGACGATGTTGCGATATGAGCTTAAGGTTTGTTGCGGGAATGTACGGAAACGGGCGTAATTTTAACATCCGAGGTGAAGTCGAGGACGGAAATTTACGGTCGTATTCGTACATTCGCGTCACAAATTTTAAACCGAACATCGTAAAATCGTCGTTGTCAAAATCACCACTTAGTGGACAAATGACATACAATATTTTTTGTTATTATCGCTCCATAAATTTAACTTTTGAGGGATAGGAGGCAAATAATGACATATTCAAATTTTATGAAGTTTCACAAGGGCAAAAAAACTTAATTTTATATTAATATTTATTTATGGCATGGTTGTTATTTTATTAACATTAGGTTCGCTTCATAATAAACTGCCAGCAGAGAAATAATTAGCGCCACTCGATAGTAACTAAGTTTAAAATTTACTTAAAATCCATCGGTCAGTACACTAGAATTTGATTTATTTCGTTCTAAATTTCATCCGATTGCTCAAAGTCAGTACGGAAAAAACGGGGGAAGTAAACTTTGCGGCCTAGGCCGCGGAAAAAAGGCGGTATGGTAGAGTCTCTAGAAATGAGTATCTTTTCGGACGCCACCCAGCGCTCAAAAGTTGAACTTTGAAAGCGAGTATAACAAAAAAAATATTAACTTGAATCAAGAGAAAAATTCTTAAACCAAGAAAATAATTTTGAAAAGTTTCAGTGTCTTGGATCAAGACGAAAAATTCTTGAATCAAGTAAAATTTACTTAAACTAAGAAGAATTTCTTAGTTTAAGAATTTTTCTACTTAAATCAAGAAGATGAAATTCTTAAAAATTATTTACTTGATTCAAGTAAATTATTTTTTATGTGTAGAGTCTCTAAAAATAAGTATCTTTTCGGACGCCACCCAGCGCTCAAAAGTTGAACTTTTGGAGCGAATATAACAAAAAACATATTAACTGACGTATTTATAACTAAAAAAAAAATAAAAATTCTAATAAATATTTCTTTTTATCTTCACATTTAGCCATTTAGGCCACATATAACCATATCACAAAATTTTTTAGAAAACAAGGATTATGTTATATCTCGATAAGTATCTCGATATTGGGCGTGAAAAGTTTATTCTCTATTGAGTGAAATAAAAGGTGAGGAAATAGTTATGGGAAACAAAATAAAATTAAGACATTACTTATAACTAAGAGAGGGTTGCTTGTACATGCAGTCGACGCTTAATGTATAATATAAGTAAGTACCAGCAGCGCAAGTCTCACGCGAAGTCCCGATCGATACACTACGTCTCCTCAACACTCCTTATCCGTGTTCATTTTTATTTCTCAAAACTTAAAACTACCCCGTATATGTCCATACATACATATATAAAACCATTTAATTTCGTACTGACTAATAGGAGCTGCTGGTTTATTTCTTAAACACTTTTACCACCGACTGGACATCTAAATTAACGCTCGCCACTCACGATTTATTGTACAATCAACCCGACTCTATTATACAGGATATCTCCGCGGAAGATCAGTCCATCTGGTTGGTATCTAATCTAGATGCCGTTGATCGAGATAGCGCTGCGAAGAAAAGACATACGGCTACATGTCACCACTCGTGACAAACAAATCGCCGTGCTCATGATCGTCCCTGTATTTTAGTATAGTACTATACTCTTCAGTCGAGTAATCTATTCATTCTGTTATATTTAACTCCTTCATTCATTTAGGAGAACGTTTTGACAATCTGACTTGTCATATTATGGACATTATCCTGCACTTATGAGGTGTCAAAAAATTTTAAGGGTTTTTTACCACTCAAAAAATTCACTATATATAACTAGAAATTATTGAAAATTTTTTTGTAATCAACAAGCATCAAAAAATTAATTAGTTTTTTTTTTATCTTTCAATAAATTTGAAGCATTTTGTACACTAATGAAAAAGTAATCTTGATCAATGAACAAAGTTATTTTCAAATCTCGCTACAAAAATTTTTTCACTTGAATTTTGACTTCTTGGCATAGAAAATTCATATCTTCGATCGGTAATTATTGTGACTTGATTTATACCATATTATTTTCAGTCGATATATATAAAATATACATTTTTTGATTTCAGAATTTATAATACTTCAACCTATGAAGATAAAGATAATATTTAATTTAATATTTTTTTTTAACAATCACATATTTTTTTTTATGCGGTTTATAAAAAATAGAAACAAAAAAAAAATTTTTTTTTTAAATGTCAATTTGTCGACAAAAAATAACTCCCCGATTTTTTGAAAATCACTGATTTTCAGAGCGAGAAATTAAAAATTCAAATAAATTATTTAAAAAAATGAGAAATGATTTTTGGTAAACATACATTTTCTTTTAACATTAAAAAGTTTAAAACTAATTAAAAAATTGACTTTTACAGATTTTGATAATTATTATTATCGTAACTCCACAGTGCATTAATGAATAATTATACGAAAAATTCTTTAATTTTTGAAAGCAATCATAACTTTTCTAATATAATGATATAGGAAGTATCAAAAATCCGAGAACTTGTTAATTTTAACGAGATTTTTGAAATAAGTCGGTAAAGTTTGTTATACCAACGATACCGTGCATCTTATTAAAAGATAAAAATTCATCAGTGAAGTGCATTTACATTTTTAAAAACAAAAAATATAAAATGATGCGTGAGAGTATAAAATTTTTCTGAACAACTTTCAAGTCGTCTAAAAATTTGATTATCGTGATTTGCGAGTGAATTTCTTCAATTAATTTGAACTGAATATTTAAAAACAAACCTAAAAATTTCAAAACAATATTTTTCTTGAGCCAAGTATTTTCTTTTCAATGCAAATATCAAAATTGAAGATGTATCCCTGTGATAATCAAATTATGTCAAAAAAATTTCCTCAAAAATTCTATCATAATTTTACTAAGTAAATAAACAGCAAATATTTATAGAACAGATTTTCCTTTTTTTTTTGAGTCTTCAAAGCGTGTCTAATAATATGAACACACGGCGATTGGACTCAGGCCATACGTCTTGTTAAAGCAATAACAAAATAATATGTGTGCTGCACTAGTAGTACTAATACTAACATTTAGACTGATAATGTTAAGTATATCGTATCGTGGGTAGATTTGTGTTTAATGAAATAAAACCTCACCCGGCCGGCCGTGAAATTGAGGGTCGCCCTACATCCTGTACTGTTTCTACACATGAATATATTTTGATCTCTGTTTAAAATTTGCCTTAATGTCATCGTCCATCGTATTCTTGTGTTTTGCTTTAAACCTCAACTCACAACCAATCACAAAAGTCAATGCTTATGTAGAATGCAAAATGGAGTAATAGAGAACATATAGAGTTTATACAGTTATTATTATTACTTGTCTTATGGGAAAGAAAGAGTTAAAAGCAAATAGGTAGGGTTGTAGAGTTATTTCTTCTGATAGTACACCCATTATTGCAATTATAGGATGTGTATACCTATAGTTAAATTGTTGAGTTTATAATGCAGTTAAACTGTAATAAATAGTACGAGTAAAGATGAATTTTTTTTTTTTAACAACAGTAAAAAATTTTCCGATATGACCTGATATGTTCATATATGAACATTTTAAAAAGTTTAGTATGTTTGCGAATATTTTTTTATACTTCTAACTAAAAACTTTGAAGGAAATTAAAAGAAAATTCCCTTAAAATTCGAGCCCTTAATATTAACATTAAGTACTTTCCTAGGTCGTGGAAAGATTTTCCACTTAAAATATACTTCAAAATTCCAAATTTCTCAACCTCAGCATTTGAACACTCCTTTGTGATATCTGCAATCAGCCTTTGGAAAGAACTACCTATTGAGATAATAAAATCGCTTAGCTATGATACCTTTAAAACCAGTGCCTGGTTATAAATTCTTCCTGAATCAAGAAAGAGACGGCTAACTACTAACTTCAAATATACATTCTGAACCTAGACCATCAATTTTACTTGTTATATAAAAACTAATATTAATATTTTCGCCATTTAAAGATTGTAAAATAAGCTAATTTACATGATTTATATGAATTATATAATTTATATTGTTAATATTCTGATTTATATTTTGAGCTATTCTTTAAAATATTAATATTTTAATGTTGAATCTATTTTGTATTAAATAAGGACTAGTGCCCACTATTATAAATTCACTTATAACTTTTTCTTTTATTCTAATTGTTAAAATTACAATTATTAGATAAATTAAATACTAAACCTCTTATGTGTACTTTAAATAAACCACCATTGTATATGTTTGCCATTCGACCAATGTCTTGGCATCAAAGTAATTTGAATAAATAAATAAACTTTCATTTTTTTTTCAAAAATCTATAACTCAGCGGTATTTTCTGCGATTATATTGATCCGAAGCGCGATTTACTCAAGATTGAATCCTCTATAAAAATGCGCACTGACACAAAGCTATAATCTGCCCCTAAAAGATTGTACACTGATAAAAAAATCAACTTGATTCAAGAGCCAAAATCTTGAACCAAGAATACCATTTTGAAGAAAATGCTTTTCTTGAGTCATGAAAATAAATTCTTGAGTCAAGAAATTATTCTTGATTTAAGTAAATTTTTCTTGTATTTAAGTAAATATATATGTCACTGTAAACCTGATTATTACGTCAAATTCTTATTTTTTCAACGTTACGTCATAAAGCACTGAATGTACAGAAAGAAGTTGAAAGACAAACATAGGAAATTTAATTTTCTATAAAAAAAAAGTCCTTTAAACCGAACCGCTAAGATTGATTGTTTTCGAGATATAGAGCGATGTCATTTCCGTAATATAAAAAATTTGACTTGATAATTTTGAAAAGGTTTCTTTTCATATTTGGCCAGATACAAAAATTGGCCATATCAAAAAAATGTTTCACAGATATTTGAAGTTGAAAGCTGAATTATACTTGAATTAAAGTTGGTACTTGAGGGTAATTTGATCGAACGTATCAACCAGAAAATCAGCGATGTGTAATTGCGGTTGTTCTGAAATGCAAGTAGAAAAAATAGTTGGTATTGTTACGAAAAGGGGCTGAATAAAAGTGAAGGTCTCTATCGAATTTATTCGATCCGGAGTGGTGAGTGTAGTACGTTATCATGGCAGGATCAAACCCGGATGGACCTTTTCCACTCGAACACCCTCGGAACCTCGGACACATTTGGTATTTGGTTTTTCCGAGGTATATATGACGGAGTACAGAAGTCTCGAGCCACTTGAGCCACCCGTCGAGCAGATGGACCAACTACCCCCAGGAGGGAATGAGCAATGAGCAATGGAGATAGCCCAAAAAAGCGGGACCCACCTCGAGGTTAAGGGTCGAACGGCCAGAGTTACCCCTAAGTCTGTTCGTATCACCAGCATCAGTCTGTGCTATAGAGTTAGTTTCAGTTTAGTTTTATTGTATAGTCTTTTAGTTTTGAACACTATAATCGAGTCCCGAATAAAATCATCAGTTATCGCGTATCGCATCGACCCATCTCGCTTTTCTCTATGTCTATTTTGTGTGCGCTGAACCTTTTACTTGTTGTAAATGAGCATTAAATGTCTATTCATTTTCTGGGTGTCAAAATATTGACGGATATTTAAATTAAAAATGGGATTTTTTATTGTTTTATTTACGACTGCATCACTATATTTATAGAAATACAAAAGTAACTTTATCTATTTTTTATTATAAAAATAGAAAAATTTATTTATTCCCATTTTTTTTTTTTTTTTTTTTTTTTTTTTTTTATTTCAGCGGGTCTAAAATTAAGATTTCAAAAATTATAAAGAAGAAGTTCTTTAATTTGAAAGTTTAAAAAATTTTTTTTTTGCTCTGTTCTCAATTTAAGTTTTTAGGTATCAACTTTTTGAGCACCAAAAAATTTTGATTCACGATAAGATTATGATTTTGAACAGATATGACTTTCATGATAAATTTAGTGTAATTAAAATAGAAATAATTAGTTTAGTATAAATGGAAACAAAATTGTTGCCATCATAAACTCCAAGAAGTCTTTTTAATTCTTATAAAACATGTATTTCTCAATTAACTTGGTGTGAATATACCATAAAATTCATCAAAGAACCTATCCAAGAAAATGAAAAATTTTATCAGTTAGTAAAAAATTAATATTATACAAATTTTTTTTTCCTGGATAAAATTATTCGATGTTTATTTACTTTAATACGTTTCATCGGTTTTCCGACTTCCTAAGGTATTTTCAACAGATAAAAGTTTTGTATCTGCCATAAAGTGGATTAAAATTAAAAACAAAATTTTTCAATAGCTCTATCATTAATTTTTTTATAGTTAAAATATGTGAAGCTGCATAAATTAGAAATAAAAAAAAAAAAATAATGAAACTTCAAAATTACAAAAATCAAATAGTGTAACTATTTAGTGAGACTTCACGATTTTTTTTATAATAAATCTTTTTTATTATAAATAATTTTTTATAAAAATTATTTTTTAAAAATAAAAAATTTTCTAGTATCCATTGCAACAAAAATTCTTCAGTTTGATTTTCATTGAAAATTAAGTTCCGCATGACTGGTGAACACACAAGTAACTAAAATTTTTATGACGGAAAGTTATTACGCAGTTCAAAGTTTTTAAATTTAAAGTTTATACATTTTAAGTAGCATTTCATGAGTTTCAAGTTCTGCTATGATAAGCTAATCCAACATTTTTATGTTTAATGCCTCAGTTAGTATGAGTATCAACCACAATAAATAAAATTTATTATTGCGGTGGAAAAATAGCCCGCTGCTATTTCATTTTCACTTGCAGTCGTGATGAGAAAATATCACGTCAAGTACCACGTTTACTATCTGTCATAGCAATTTTATTTCCGAAATTATTCAGATAAATTTTCATTTCCTTTCTAGATAATAAATCTCTAAACAATTAAACGAAAATTTACAATCTTGTTAAACGAAATTTGACGTATAGCTGTTTGGTAATTGAATACAGAAAGCATTCTAATAATGATAAATAAATCTTAAAGCGTGGAAGGTAACGTTAAAGTAGCACCTATCGCCTATTACATATTACCTATTACCCAGTTTTTACCTTACGCTTATAATGCACAGATAATTTTCATTAAATTAACGACATAATTGTTTTGTTTTTGTTTGAATCTTGTTCGCAGTAGTTACAAATGAAATGGAAAAAAAAGCTTAAGTTACCGTACTATACGTAAATACTTACAGCAACTCTACTCTCCTTCAAGTCGAGTCTAACAGCCAACGCTTCACGCATAAAAACGTCTGGATAATGGCTCGACAAGAATGCACGTTCGAGTTCTTCCAGTTGCCAACTATTGAAATTTGTTCGACTCCTCCTTCTTTTGCTTCCACCCTCATCGGACTCGGCATCACATCCTTCAATAAAAATAATAAAATAAATTAATTTATTTTACTTAAAAAAAAAAAAAACTTAAAATAAATTAATTTTTTTTTCTCATAAAAAAATTTAGTTATTTGATTTTAAACAGACAACTGATCATTTATTAGTGTATATTGATGATTTTTCGAATCAAATTAATTTTATTAGCTATTTTTAGTAGGCCTGGGCCCATAACCTGTGAGATTTTTATCGAAAATCACACTATAAGTGTATAAAAATGGAGGGTAAGCTCATTGATGACAACTCAGAATATTTAATATTGTAAATTAGGGTAGAAATTGTTTTGAAGTTTGGTAACATGCTTTAAAAAATGAATTAAAAAATTCAAGAAACTTATTTTGAAATTTAAAGAGCTGTAATATTGAAATTTAATATATTGTTACAATTTCAAGATAAGGTTACATTACAATAATTAAAAAATGAACTAACGCATGATTCTAAAGAAAATAAAAAAATTCATTTGGAAATTTTTAAGTACTTAGGGATAAGCATATTAATGATCAAATGTAACCTAAATAAAAATTAACTATCAAATATTAACTTTGACATAAAAATTAAGTCGATTTAATGGAAAAAGATCTTAAGCCAAGAAAGTGTCACTGATTTGAGCAAAATTAAATTTTTCTTAGTTCCTTGTGGAAAAATTTTCTGATATGGATTTATATATCGATGTATGGCCACATCAGAAAAATTGATGCCTCATTTATGTCATATATAATTTTTGATATGTCCATAAATGGTCTGGTATTAAAATTACCCATATCAGCACATATCTATTATCTTAATATGGCTTTATATGTCCTGATATGTTCCTGTCAGGACTCATGTGGACAGATATAATTTTTCGACCAAAGGTAGTGTTGAAAATTTCTGAAAGATGGCGCATGATCGCTGAATCGTCTCATTATAAGAGAATTAATTTTAAGGTGTCAAAATTACGAAATAAAAATCATTTTCTACTCTTTTAGGGAGCTTATGTGATATTCATTGTAAGTTTAATAATGTAATAAATAAATTCCATCAAACAAATTATAATGTAACAAATAAAAAATTGAAAAACTATTTTCTTATTATCATATAGCCTGATATGGTCATATATGACAAGATCAGGCTTCATCTGGCCATATCATAAAATTTTTTACCCAGTTAAAAAAATTTTCTACTCAATTCAAGAAATTCTTCAAAACAATTTTCTTAGGTCAAATTTTTTTTTCATTGACTCAAGATTAATTCTTCCTTCTATATAACTTTGATAAAAACTTCAATTACAATTCATTAAAATTTACAATGGAAACTTTCCGAGATAATCTTAAGTTATAATTAGTTGGATAGCTAGTTAAATTGCTTAATTAAAATCACTATCACTATCAGAAAACAAATAGTAGAAAATTGATAATAATTATTAAAGTAGAACAAGACAAAGGATTTTAGTGAATCGGCGGAATTTCATTAAGAATTAATGTGTAATACAGCCTGACCCTGACCCTGGGATTAGATAACAGACAAAACGATGTAACATGTAACGATTGAAAAAATAACAAGCCTCACTTTTTTATTTCTATTGATATCACGTATGTATTTATGCATATATGTAGATGATTTATATCTATATCTATACTTATATGAAGATGAAGATACATGTATTATACTTATTTTATATTGAATAAACATGGAATTTCATGATTTTATGAATACGATCTACTTGGGTCCAGAAAGAAGGCGTTATCAATGTCGGGGGATCTCAGAAAGGACGATTGTTTTGCTCTCATATGTATGCTAATGCCGGCACGGGGAATTGAATAAAAGATTGAGAATTATGATTGACCCCCAGCTTCCAATGGACTTATCTTTTATTTTCCCTCTCCGGTTATTTTATTATTCTTATTGGCGCTTCTGGCTATTAAATAAAAATCTAACAAAAAAATCAACCATTAAATATCAAATCAACATAATTTTGAGTACTATAGGGTATTAACATTGAGAGGCAATGTTGTTACAAAGTATAGAGTTATCAATTTTATCATTTATTTTGCAGTTATTCATTCATTTTTATTGCTCCTGTTAATAAGTCTATTTATATTTTATATTTTAATTCATTGCTGATATAATTATTTCTTGTTTCTCTCCAACTATTCCACTGAGTACGAAGTATCGAGTACGAACACTGATTAAAAGTTTAATTTAAAGAATCTTAAGCCAAAAAATTGTTTTCAAAAATTTTTTTTTGTCTTGAGTCAAACTAAAAATTTATTTTAAATAATTTTTTTTTTATCAAATTTTTTACTGTTTAAAAAAGTTCATTTTTTTTTAATGGAGGAAAAATTTATTGCAATTACAAGATTAAAATATTTTTTAATCATTTCAGCATAAAAATAAATGTAAATTTAAATATAAAATATGAAAAAAAAATTCACGCTTTTTTGTCCATAAATTTGTTTTTATTTAAATTTTTGATTTAATAACAGCAATAAAATAAACAAGAAAATTTCCATTTTGTTTTATTTAAAAAATTGCCACTTTATGTAACAATTTTATTTATTCATGCTCTAAATATTAACTCTGCAAAAACGTTAAATTGTACGGTTTTTATAGCAGTAGAAAATTGTAATAATTATAAATAATTGGAATAGCTGAGTCTTTAAATTATTTAAATCGTTGATACTAGCCATTTGTAAGTCGTCGATAGTTACTTAAATTACAGATAATAGCAATGCGGTTAATGGTTTAACGAAATTAAATTTTTAAACAATTACTTCTATTTTTTATCCATTGTCATGTGAATGTACAAACAATAACAGCGATCGAATAACAACCGGAAAATCTTTTATTGAGATTAAATGGAGATAGCGACGGCGACGCGAAAATATGCGCGATATTTATCGCGCAGGACGAGTAAGCGCAGTAGATACATAATAAAATTGTACATTTTTCGTTATATATATACGTGATATGTAGATAAAATGACAATAAGAAAGTCATGGAAATTGAGTTATTATTTAACTTTGGCAATATTATAGATCATGGAAACTCAATTTCATTTGCTTATTTTCTCCGATCAAATAAATTAGTTATTTCTTTTAGTAGTACATAAGATCCTTTTTGTTGTTTTAATAATATGACACATTCAGTTATATTATATGTGAAATGTTAAAGAGCTGACACGCATCTTTGATAATGAATTAATTATATTATTTGTTCTGTTTACCGTTGTAATTGTGGAGTTATTATTTCTCATTTAATTATGTTGTTATTTACAATTAATAACTTATTCATTAAAATAATGTGTGGATGTGCTAATTTAATAAACCCTGAAAAATTAAATTATTATTTACAAAAATAATGCTCTCATATAAATTGCTCATCAGCAGAAAAATATCTTTTATATGATCTTATATGAGTTTTAAATATGTACAATTGAAAATGAATTCAATTTTCTTCATATGTGATCCTGCATGAATATACATGATCACAAATGGTTATATCTGAAGTTATATGGAATTTTTACATGTATAAATGACGATGTTTCATATGTGATTACATCTGGACGTATATGACTATTTATAAGTAGAAAGTCGATAAAAAAAAACCTACTGGAAAATAAATGGTTTTTCCGAATGATAATACGTGTCTTCCATAAACCATACACAACCATATAAAATCATGAATAGTTTTATATGAAATTTTCCATTTTCCATATCGAATCATTTATTGATAAATCACATCTGACCATATACGATTTTATACAAATTGTGCATGAGTAAAAACATCGCTTTCCATATATGAAGTCATTTGTTTGAACACATATTATTTGGAGGAGAATGATACATAATTCATGCATAAATCATATATGACCATATATGATTTTTCATGAATGATACATTTCTAAGAAAAAATGATTTTTTATATGAAGCTATGCTTGAACATGTATGACCTATCTGAAAATCATCTATGATCAATCAACCATCTATGATTTTTTATGGTTAGACATGGTGAAAAAAATAATTTTTTATTAAGAATTATGGTTGAATAAATATGATCTATACAGAAGCTGTATATGATCTATATGTGAATCATATATGATTCATACTTTAACCATGGTTATATATATATATATATATATATATATATATGATTTTTTATGAATAATACATCAGTTAAAAAAATATGCATTATAGTAGAAAATGCATTATAGTAGAAAAAACTAGAAAAATTACAGTTCGAAATAACATTATTCTAAATTCAAATTTTGAATCTTAATTTTCAGAGCTTTCAATGTAAATATTACATTCTACAATGTAATTATTATAAAATCTGTAATAATTACAATCTGAAACTGTAATTTTTCTAGTTTTCATCACGGAGCGCCACGTAACATTATATATTGTAATTTTTCGAGTTTTCTTTTTTCCGTTTATATGATCCATAAACATGAGTTGTACATAATCATACATAAGCTTTATAAATGTTACATTATTGAACAAAAATTATTTTTTATATGAAGCCATATATGCTTAACCATATGTGTTCACACGAGGAAAAATATCGATCATATGCGACTCCACTTTACAATGCACAGAACATGGATTTTTTATTAGCTTTCATACCAAATTAATGTTTTAATCTCTAAAAAAATTTCTAAATAACTAAAGGAAGCTCTTCATTAAACTTTAAAGCAAAACACATAAGAGTGATAAGTCACAAGCATAAGCCGTATAATAACACTACTGTCTCTTATTACACGTTATATATACATATATATACACGTTATATATACATATATATACACGTTATATATACATATATATACACGTTATATATACATATATATCTTTATAAAGACATATATTATCGTTGATTCGGATTCTGCAGATGCCGCAGCACTGTGGTACCGTAGCATTAAGAGTATATGTGTGAGAATGAAAAATTTTTATGAGCTACATTAATCCTGATAATTAGACACGATTTATTTGCACACCGATCCCGGGTGCTCGTTGTAAAACAAGTCGTAACCAGCGAGTACCACACGATGGATATCGATCGGGACTCTCATTATTGATAATCCATAATCCAAAAGGAGGAATCGTCGGTACCAGGCGCACAGTGGCAGCTTGAGAGATCGTCTCGTGGGTAGAAAACCCTCGAGCTAACTTTATAAATTTTTTAGTCCAACGTCGCTGCACACCTTTATGTTACTTTTTACCTAAGACGCTGAAAAATCGCTTATGATGTCAAGAGAGAATAAAATAAAAACTTATACGTAGATATAAATACACTCTTGTTGCCGAGCGTAAGAAGACAAATTATGAAATAAAAAGGTAAACGCATGGCCAATTTTAAACTTGGCGTGAAATGTTTTAAATCAGATGTGTGATATGGATATGTTGTAATTATTTATTTTTGCGATCACGCTAGAAGTTAAATATGTGGAATAATAATTAAATATTTCTGAGAATAATATTTCACATTTTTTGTAAAAATCGCTTGTTATTTTCAAGTTGATGGTTAATTCGA